CCCCCCCCCCCCCCCATCCCCAACTGCATTTTCACCCGAAACCCCTTACGTATCACCTCTGTCGGCTCCATGACTTCGACAGTAGCACCACATTTTTCTATAGTACTCTTAAGTGCATTCCATTGTTCCATGGCTTTTTTCGTATCGACAGGATCCTTCATTTCCATCCATGGATTAATAGAGTACGAAACCTGTAAACGGGTTATAGATAACAATTAGCCTTAAGTAGTTGTTTGTAGTTGTAACTCACCTTAAAGTATGTCGGTCTGCACATTAAAATACGACAAGCATCTTTTTTCCACATTTTTGCCAACTATGAAAAAGACGGTCACCGTTACGCCAACACACGCACAGTGGAAAGTGGTCTCTACTATTATAAATTCACGCTTCAATCAGATAAGTGTTATCTCAAACAGTGCAATGTAAACACATTCTTTTCTAGCAAAAAAAGTTTGCATTAAATGAATGATCGTTCTATGATTCGGTACCCATGGTTTCCTCATTCATCAAAAATATTTTTTCGGAAACAAAAAAAGAAGAGAAGAGTTTTTGCCTACCGTTTTAGTATCGTCCGTCTCCACTTGTTTAAAACTAGAATTCACTCTTGAATGCGTTGATTCATGTTGATCCTGAAGGAGTAGCAAGCTCCTGCAGGGCGCGGCAACTCAAGAGGGTTGACAAGCTCGGGAGTGCTTATTGTCCATTTCGTTAGCGTAGGAATCTCTCCACGGTTCCAAAATATGTATTGTCATGGGTGTCAAGGAACTTTGGGATTGTTCAGTAGTCGGCCTGAACGAGGTTGTTCTGTGATGCGGTTCCAGATGTCAGTATCCTTCAAATGTTGATAACGACAATCACGTTCCCTCACCAAATTGAACTGGGGACCATAGTCCAAATTCATGCGAGTCGTTTGCTACAGATACATCGCTAATACTGTAAGAGAATTCTGATATTTCATTTACTTTCATACTTTTATTGGCAATAAGCAAGCATACCATAGAATTCTGTGCGGGGGTGGTGTAGTGGCAGAAGGCTTGCTAACCCACACACTTTGTCACAGGCTCGAATCCCGATATCGGCCTAGGCCAACCAAGCCCTTCATCCCATCGCGGTTTGTCAGTTGGTACCAGACTCGTCTAGGAGGATAAAAGCACTAGCTTGTACATTGGCTGGCCACACAAGTCCTTGTATAGGTCACATACGCATTCAATTCGCCACCACGATTCCGAATATAAGCTGAATGCGTGGGCACATCCCTCAGGCGAGATCGATTAAAGCCCGAAGACTTTATCCTTTATCCTTTGAACCATAGAGTTCAAGTTTCTGCTTTTACGATCCACTTTGTTGCACTTTGTAGAGCTATCCCACGCACCATAATGCATCATAATCAAAGGAGGTTTTGCCATGAGTTACTGAGCATCGTAAAGGAAAAAGGATGAGGACTTTGGAGAAAACTAGTTCTGTTTATGAGTTACGCCCCGCATTCATCTTCCAATCGGAATCGTAGCGGTGCTTGGAATGCGTGAATGGTCTATGCAATGACTGGCGATGTCCAGCCAATGTACAGGTCAAGCTTTCATGCTCTCAGATGAGTGTGGTATCAATCAACCTACAATTGAGAGCGAAGGCCTCGTTGGCCTGTTATGTTCAGTTGTTTTTACTTCTGAAGGCATGTTGTGAGGACACAACCAAATAAGGCAGCTTATTAAGGCATGTTGCGATAACATCTAAGAATTACTGTGAGGTGAAAGCGGTTCGGCACTATTTCTGTACATGGGCCGTGGCCGTATTTAGCATTCTCCTGATTGAGGACTGGAAAAGACGCTCACTGAATTGCGTATATAGTTTTTTTCAAGCAAGGATTCGGGGATGAAAGGCATTTTTGGGGATTCAACTTATTAGGTAGCATACGACAGGTATAGTTGTGATAAACTCTTGCTTGACCTTATGTATGGACAAAATGTAACAAATGTTATGCTGTTAACAGTCATTCACGTAACTTCAATCGACAATGCTTTTGCCATCTGAAAACTCTATATTTCAGCATTTGCTAACCCACAAACAAAACTCACTCCAAAGCACACACACGAATGATCACGAGACCGGTTATCTGGAACCGAATCAATTTGAAGTGAGCCTAATGAAGAACTCCTTCTTCACAGCTCTTTTTCACCTGGACATTGATATCAGACCACAACGCTTCACTGATAACGAATATCATTCGTAGATAGTTCGAATGACAGAACGGTGGCACACTTGAACTTTCTGGGATCTTAATTGAGCAAGGAAGTTCAGCGCGCCCCGAAAATACGATTCGGTATTTGTAGGAGAAAACGCGCACTCGCAAAGGCCGGCGGTTCAAAAAGTGTACTGGGGTCTGCGGTGGAAGGGCGACCAGAAGGGCAAATGTGTCAATGCAAAAGTTCTGCAAAGCTGTGGAAGACACGCGTTTTGACATTAAATATTGGTACGTTGACGGGATACTCCTGCATGCTAGTGAGTGCGCTGGAGCTTTGCTGAATAGATTTCTGTTCCGTGCAAAAGACGAGCTGGTCCTACTGCAAGTCAAGGAACATCGTCTACGGCTTCAAAGCCTTTTTTGAGGCAATGGAAGACCATCAACGGTGCCGGAATTTTTGTTTCCGAACGTTTCGGAGACTCGGTTGTTGGTGTCAAACGCTTCATGATGATCACCTCATGAAGATTTTCATCGGTCATGACGTCAACAGTATCACATTTTCTGCATCTGCTCGACAGACTGGTTACTCTGAGCGAATATATGAAGAGTTCCGGACTTTGAATGAAAACATGAAGTGCCACCATATGAAGTTATTGTTGTCGCAAGGGACCTAAATGGGCACTACGAAAGGCTACTGACTTGTCGTGTGGATTCGGATATGAGAAATCAACCCCGCCGAACGAATCCTTCAACACATTTACGCGCATAACCTCACCAACGTGCGACCCACCGAAATAGAAACGAATTGTAAGAGTAGATGGAAGAAAAATTGTATTCCTGCATGAGCTACAACCCAACCTATCTGCTCTCGATCTTTGAACGACTTGTAGAAGGCCGCATTAGAGAACTCGCCTAGCTTCACGCCAATCAGTGTGGTTCCATCACCGGTTGCAGCACCGCAGATTCGTTACGTGCTGCTCTTTTATTGCTGAAAAAACATCTAGAAAAAGGGGAGCAGTGCATCTCGCTTTTTCGGACCTAAAAAGGCTTTCTGTCACGTTTCGCATGAAGGTGAATGGTATGCCTTCCGACAGCGCTGACCTCCTAATGTACCCATTTCCTACCCAACAACAAAGAGTGGAGTAGAAACAGTATCACACACCCCTTCAAATGTTCCAACCCATCAGGGTGAACTACGACTCTGCGCTTGCTCCCTGCTATTCGTTTTTGTCATGGATGCAGTTACACGAGGTCTTCAGAATTCAGCGGCATGTTGACGACGGTGAGGAGCAGAATACACAGGAAGAAGGAATGAATCAACAGACAGATCAAATAGGGGTCTAGCCTTGCCCTTCTTGCTGCCGGTCATACTCCCGCCGAAATTCGCAATATTGTGAAGATGTAACGTCAGGCTGGTCATAGAAGTTTGAAGCAAGTTAAGTTGAAGTTCTGATCTTTCTCGTGGAGGTCGTCCAGCCTCGGCAATCGCTAAATGACTCATGAGAGTAGTCAAGAACCCAGCCCACCTCAATCCAGCGAGAAGCATAGGAAGATAGCTAGGGATTTGGGTGTTTCTAGTTGAACGATGAAAAAATAGTGCATAATAGGACACGCTTCCCAGAAGAGCAGCAAAGTGGAAAATGCAGGAGGCTTCTGTAGAGGACCGCAAACGGTGCGCATTCAAATATATAGTCATCACAGATGAAAAACCATTCACGATTGACCACGTCTTACACCGCATAAGCTCCCGTGTACTCTCCAGGAAATCCAAAGAAGCCCTAGAGCAGAAAGAATAGTCACACGAAGTTTAAATACTGCATCACACCATTGTGTTCGTGGAAATGGGCCTGAAAATCGATGCCACTTGCTACCTCGAGGAGATTATTAGACAGTCACGGTCAACTGGACTTGTGAGAACGATTGCATTTTCCTGCAGGATGCCGGCCAGCTCATAGATCGGCTTTGGCGCAGAAGTGGTGTCGTGACCATATGGCCGAATTCATAGCAACAGAAGACTTGCCCGCTTATTCCCCCGATTTGACCGCAAGGGATTTCGTCAAACTCGAAGCAGGAGGCCTGCGCTAAAAAGCCCGGTACGATTGAATCGCTGAAAGCGGTTTCACGAAAAGCATGGGATGAAATTATACAGGCTGCTATGCCGGCAGCAGTCGCCAAAATGTACAATGTAAGAATGTTGAAGATACACCGAAACCCACCTTTACTTGAACAATAAGTGCGAGCTTGGCCCGACTATGTGGCAATAGGCAATAAGTACTGTTCATACGGTTCAATGTCATAAAGGCCAAGTTTATAACCACGAAATCGAGTGAGCTAGGCTTGATCGATATTGACAACACTAAGCTTCCGCTCACACTTGTCTTTAAGTGACGATCGCAACCAACGAAGTTCTGAGATTGATTCCCCTGCAAGTGCGGCATGGTCTGGATGGCGCTGGATGTCGTCCTATGCGGCAGGTAAGACAGCGACAACAACCTTCTTGAGTCTTGGGAGTCGACGGTTAATCGTGGCGGTCAATCGTGGAAGCCACGGTAAGGTAGGAGCAAGTACGGACTCTCGTGAGAGCAGGGCTGGCCATGAAGGTGAGTTGGATGTTTGTATGCAAAAAACTGAAGGCTATTTTTCGCCACATCTCGGCTTAGCTTCCTTATGATGGGATCCGCTGAGCGGTTCGGCTCTACCGAGTACGTTTTCGAACAGGGAAGATTAAAGGGTTCAGACGTCGAACTACATATAGAACCTCGGTTGTCTGCTCGTGCTCCAATAAAGAGGAAGTGCAGAAGGCAAGAGTGGAGAGCTTTCGGGAGAAGGAGGGGGGGGGGGGGGGGGGGGAGGTGTTTCCCACAAATGGTGGTAAATTAGCAATGGGACCTCGCTAAAAAACTATATCTTTGCTCAAACAATCCCACCCGAGTGGGGAATTGGAGGAGTAAGAAAGATTTTGTCTTCAGTTTCTCTTAGGGAAGCATCCGACGTCATGTGTCATATCATCGTGCAGCCGAGGTAACTGTATAAGAAAATGTGTTCATTTCCAATCGTCAGAAGAATCGGAGAACGAGGGTACTCCACTAGACTAACACTCACTCCTCACTAATATATTGTCCGCCTAAACCGCATTCAAACGACTTCCTACTACTGAAAAGAATCTATCGAATTCATGAGCAGAAGAGGCACTGCTTTCAATGGGGTGAGCTGAAGCCTACACCTGAGGGCAATCCTTTGTGAACCCTATTGAGAGCTTTTCCATGATAGGAACAACAGCTCTGGCGTCCATAGTAACTTGAAATCCACGCCTGAAGCAATAGCAGTACCAATCACAACA